ACACAGCTGCTGAATGAGAGGCCCACACTCCAGCCCTGACACACTCTTACCCTGTATCTGGCATCCTGCCTGGCTCTGCCTCTGCTTTCTCTTTGAGCCTCTGCCCTCAGCTGTCATATGGGGTGGGGCGGGGGAGGTGCCCTCTCTGCCTCCTCCTCTGGTCTTGTGAGAGTCTGAGTGCTGCAGTGGGAAACCAACCCCTTGCTGACCGTAGTCAGGTCACCAATTCTGAGCCAGGTCTGGTCTGGTAGGCGTGGCAGTCATACCTATCTTCCCTGCCCCACTTGGCCCTTCTACAGCCAGCAGGACCTATTCCGTGTGCTGAAGGCCTATACCCTTTACCGACCTGAGGAGGGCTACTGCCAGGCCCAGGCACCCATTGCCGCTGTTCTGCTCATGCACATGCCTGCTGAGGTACCACCGGGCCCTGGACGGGTGAGTGGGTGGGCAGGGAATACCCAGCAGCAAGGCCTCATGTCTCTCTCGCCCACAGCAAGCCTTCTGGTGCCTGGTGCAGATCTGTGAGAAGTACCTGCCTGGCTACTACAGTGAGAAACTGGTGAGTGCTCGCTGGGTCCAGACCAGGCCTGGGACCTGCCCTTTGTGGCCTCTCCAGGCCTTTCTCTCCACAGCCACTGTTGCCCCAGCTTAAAACCTTCCCAGACTTCTGTTGCTTTCAGGTTGACGGCCCAAGGCCCTCCAAGGTCAGGTCTTCTAGGCTCCAGAGTTATTGGTTCCACTCTGGCCTCCATGGCTGCTTCTAGCCATCTGGCTGCTTGGCAGGATCACAGTTCCTCCAGTGCACCAAGTTCCTCCCTGCCTCAGCCTTGAGGCTTAAACCTCTACTCCCTTCCTTCCCATAATAACCCTTCCTTTCCTTCAGCTTTTAGCCCTCAGGAAGCTTTTTGTGACTCTGACAGGTGTGACCTCTGCACATGCTAATTCAGCATTCCTGGTTCTGCCATATTCTGGGCACTTAGCCACCTCCCCCACCAACGCCCACCCTGTCCCCCGTCTCTTTGCCCCTGTGATTCATCTGTTTGCCCCTTTTCACTACATGCTTCACGAGGTAGACCAGCTGTGTGTGGTTTGCTCTTCAGTGTATCCCAGCACCCAACTCAAGGTTGGTTCCCTGCAGGCAGTAGCTGCCTGAGGGATGAACGAATGCCTGCCTGGTACTGGGAGCCAGAGTGTCGCCTACAGTCCTGGCCCCACGGCCTCACTGTGTCCCCCAGGAGGCGATCCAACTGGATGGGGAGATCCTCTTCTCCCTGCTGCAGAAGGTGTCACCCGTGGCCCACAAGCACCTCAGCCGGCAGAAGATCGACCCGCTGCTGTACATGACAGAGTGGTTCATGTGTGCCTTTGCCCGCACCCTGCCCTGGAGCTCTGTGCTTCGTGTCTGGGATATGTTCTTCTGTGAAGGTACTGGGCTGGGCTTGGAGGAACAGCACTGCCTCTAACCCAGCCCACAGGGGGCCTCTATTTTCAGAGAAACTCCTTACAGGCCCTTTTACCACCCCCTCATGCAGGAGTCAAGATCATTTTCCGGGTGGGGCTGGTGCTGCTGAAACATGCATTGGGCTCCCCTGAAAAGCTCAAAGCCTGTCAGGGCCAGTATGAGACTATCGAGCAACTGCGGAGCCTCAGTCCCAAGATCATGCAGGAGGCCTTCCTGGTCCAGGAGGTACGGCCCACACCCTCCCATCATCCCTGGGTGGGAGTGGGAGACATGGGGGCCCTTCAGAAGGGGCCTGGTAACTCTCTGCCCCGAAGATGGGTTACTGGTGCCAGTCCTGGTGCTCAGCAGCTCAGGATGGTGTGGGTAGACCTTATCCTCCTGTCTTAATGAGAAGACAGGGGCACAGAGAGGCCTAGGTTTGCAGGGCCTTCCTTGTTCTGAACCACTTAGTAATGAGAGGAGCTACAATTCATCACCCTCTCTTCTTTCCTGGTACCACATCCATGGCCTTGGCTTTATTTTCCCTTTTTTCTTTCCTTTGTGGATTTTTGTCTCTCAGGGACTGTACTTAGGTGACACATAGTTAAGCAGGTGGACTCGAGTTGTGGGCAGCTTTCTCCTTTGAGGCAGTGGGTCCCAAGTGCCTGGCTCACCTGGCACTTGGCTCTGGGACTTGTGATCACCACAGGGACCAGACCCCCATTATTCCTAGGGTCAGCCTTTAGTGACCAGGGCTGGGGCATGGTGATGGAGAGCAGGGCCAGGTTGGGAAGTAGAGAGGAAGTTTCTTCCTGGTGCCCATCTTCCTGTTACCATGCACACAGGTGGTAGAGTTGCCGGTGACAGAGCGCCAGATTGAGCGTGAGCACCTCATTCAGCTGCGGCGCTGGCAAGAGACCCGGGGTGAGCTGCAGTGCTGCTCTCCACCCAGGCTGCATGGTGCCAAGGCCATCATGGAGGCGGAGCCAGGCCCTTGGCCCACCCTGCAACCTTCACCATCCATCCGCCTGCCCCCAGATGCCCTGCTCCCTGGCTCTAAAGGCAAGCCCAAGCCACCCAGACAGAGCCAGAAGGAGAAGGAGCAGTGGAAGCAGGCAAAGGCAAGCGGGCAGCTGGATAAGTCCCCAGTCCCAAGTCAAGCCAAGGTGGCAGCTGCTGCAGGAGATGCGTGTCCCCCACAGGATGTGCCCCTGAAGGATCCAGCCCACCAGGACCCAGCCCTGCAGGACTCAGCTACCCAGGATTCAGCCCATCACCGCTCCCAGGATTCAGTCCACCACCACTCCCAGGAGAGCCTGACGTCCCAGGAGAGTGAGGACACCTACTTGTAACCCTGGCACCTCAGGCCTGTGGGGTGGGGTCTCCACACACCTACATGGCTCACAGACTGACATTCGAGGGCCTGCCCATGCTCTGAGGGCCCAGCTGCCTGGCCACTGGGTGGCAGAGAGTCTGGCTGGCCCAGCACAGAGTCTGCCTGAGCTTTTTTATTTATTTTCTCCAGAGTGGAGCTTGGGCCAGCCCAGCTCGGTCAGACAGAAGTGAGGGCCAATGGGCGGGGCCTCACTCAGCCCCCTCCTCCTGGGGGGATGCTTCCCAGGGCTAGGGTACTGTTGTGAGGAGAGAGGGTGGGGTAAAAGGTGGGGTGCTCTTTGTGTAAAATAGAAACATGGTTTTGTACAGAAATAAACAGGCTTGTGTAGAGAGTTGGTGTATGGCTAGGGACTGGGAAGGGGAGCCACCCCTGGTGCTCAGCATCTCCTCTCTACCCTACAGAGCACCCCATCCTGGCCCCAGCCCAGCACTAGAGCCTCTCTGAGAAGTACCTTTGCCATAGGCCAGTCCTTGTTCCTGGCCCCCACTTTTGCTTACCCCATTCCCTCTGCCCCGTGTCCACCAGTTTGCCATGGATGAGGGCCTGCTTCCCAGGCCTTGATGCCTACTCATCTTGGGGGCAAGGGGCGGGGGTTTCTTTAAGGAGGTCTTTTCAGGGTCTTCCTCCACCAAGGCCCCTTGCCTAGATGCCACTTCAGACCCCAGTAAGGTTCTGAGTGTTCATTTTGGGTTGAGTGCTGGCACCAGGAGTCGGGGACCATGAATGCCCTTACATGCTAAGTCCAGGCCTCCATTGGACACAGAGGGATGAGGGAAGAAGTTTGGGTCTTTAATAGAAGGCTGCCTCGGTTTCCTGAGCACTTAGCATGTGCCACGCTGGGCTGGTTGTGCCACCAGCTGATCAGGTAGGCTCTATTATCCCCATTTTACAGATGAGGAAACAGAGGAGCTGAGTGGGAAAGATGAAGCTGGTGATTTGCACCTAAAACCCCTTAGCTACCTCTCCTGACCAGGGTGTCTGGTGACCTGGCAATGCCCCTTAGGGCCCAGGCGGTCACAACCTGATGACTGGTGAGGGTGAGGACAGGGTGTCCCTGGGAAAGGCCCCCCCCCTTCTGCTGAGGAAGCAGCTTTTCCAGTCAAACAATAGCGGTTGTTCCTGGCACGCTACCAAGCTGGGCTGGGCCATGGTGGAAGGGGGTGGGAGAGGGAGGAGAAGAGTCTGCCTAGGAGTTTTCAGGCATCACAGAGCCTGGGCCTGGAACATCTTGTCCTGGTACAGCTGGGGATACTGAGGCCTAGGGAGGTCAAGTGTCATATGAGCCTATCAGGGCAGGCTACCCACTTTCTGCCTCCCACCCCTCACCCTTGTATTTTCCCACCCCATCTGTACCTGCCATGAGAGGCTTTGAGGACAGTCCCCTCCCCCTGGCTCTCCAGGGGTCAGGCCAGGATGTGGCAGCTACAGTGTTCCACAGGAATCCCTTGAGCCAGAGAGTCAAGGGAGGGAGGGTGCTGCCCAGCTTCCATCCGCCTACAGTAGAGGCTCTTGAGCAGGCAGGAGGCTTGTGTAGGCCTGCTGGGTCCCAGTCAGGCCTGCGGCTGGCTTTAACCTGTCTGGTTCAAAGCCTCAGATCTGAAGCCTGAGGATGCTCAGGCCAAAGCCCCTCCAGAGCACGCTCTGTCTATCCTGCTACAGGGCCAGCCTAGGTGTGCTGATACCTGCTTAGCCTTGGAGTCTTCTTAAACCTGGGGCGGCCTGAGCAGAACCCAGTTCTAATGTTGAAATGAGCCCAAGTTGGTCTAACAAGCCTCAGATCTGGGGCATCTGCCAGTGCTGGGGGCCTCTGTGGGCATGAAGCAAGTTTACATGTGCTCAGGCCAGCTGGGTTCTGCTAATGGCTGCAGGCTTTGGGAGGCCTCAACAGGGCTCAAGTCTCAGGTCTGAGATCTGACTACCCAGTGAGCCCCAGACACATGGGCCTGTCCCCTGAAGTCTGGGCCTTGAACATCCCGGGCCCAAGCACTTAGTCTTGAAGGGTCTCAAGCCATAAGCCTGGCCACCGTCATCCCCTACCCCACAGTATGTTATTCAGATATAAGTGTCTGGGGCCCTCCCTATCTCTGTGATCCCCGTGGGTAGGCGCCTTCTTCCTCCATAAGGGGAAGGAGGAAGAAAGGTAGGACACTGTTGGGAGAGGATCACAGTCACCAGGGCTGCCCAGCCTACCCCTCCCCCTCCATACTCCAGAGTTTTCTGGTCAGCACTCTGGTCCCAGCTGAGCCCCCGTTCGTCTCGCGGCCCTTCGGAGCTTCAAGGATATCAGTCATGAGACTGAAGGACAGAAACCATTCCACACCTCCCTCCACACCTGCTTCCGACCCCAGCGAGGAAGGAGACCTGCGGAAAAGGCGGAGCCCCAGAGAGGGGGCGTGGCATGGGCGGGGCCTGAAGGACTCCAGCGGGTTCGGATCAGCCTGTGATCCCTGAGCCAATGCTAAAGGGGCGGAGTCATTAGAGGCGGGGCTCGGCGGGCTGGAACGGGAGGGATGAGACGCTGACCTTAAGAAAGAGGCGTGGCTACTTTGGCTAGGCCTCCCGCCCCTCAGGGCGTGGCTGTCAGGGAACTGGACGCGGCGTGGGGCTGGGAGGGTCCGCGGCGTAGCTGGCGGCAGGGACGCGGCAGCGCAGCGGCTCCTTTAAGCCCCCGGCACCGCCCCCACCGCCCCGCCCCCGGCGGCGGCCTGGGTCTGGTAGGCGGCGGGGTCGGCTCCGCGCGGACCGTGATGGAGCTGCACATCCTAGAGCACCGGGTGCGGGTGCTGAGCCTCGCCCGCCCAGGTCTCTGGCTCTACACCCACCCGCTCATCAAGCTACTCTTCCTGCCCCGCCGCAGCCGGTGCGCGCCCGGGTTCGGGGGCACAGGTGGGGGTGGGCTCCGCTATTGCTCCGGGACGGGGTCGGGAGGTTAACATCGCCGCGGGGCGAGCGGGAGCGGGTGGGGAGGGCGCTTCTCCTCCCTACCCCCCCGCCCCGCCGCCATCCGGCTTGGGCCTACCCTCCCTGGGACCGCCGCCTATCCGGCCCCATGAGGCCCCCTCCCAGGGCCAGTTAAGGCGCAAACAACCTGGGGTGAGCAAAGCTTAACTCCAAGTGGTGTCAATGGGGGCAATTCCTTCAACTGGCGACTGCGGGGAGCTTCTTCCAGACGCCTCCCATCGGGTCAGAGGGGCTGGTCTAGGGGGCCCAAAGTCCGACTCGCCCAGGGCTGTAGTCGCGGGTTAGCCTCTCCTCCTTCCCGGAACGGAGGGTCGGGAGCTCCTACAGAGGTCGGGAGGCGAAAAACAGTTCGTCATTCCGGTGATGAGGCCCACACCCCACTGGCCCGGGGAGAAAATTGAGGCTTGAGGGGGCAGGGAGGCGCCCAGCAGGGGTCTTTCTGGGCGAACTGGAGCGAAGTCCTGCCCGCCCCCTCCGCCCAACCCAGGCTGAAGATGCCCCCCACCCCCATCCAGGTGCAAGTTCTTCAGCCTGACGGAGACCCCCGAGGATTACACGCTCATGGTGGACGAGGAGGGCTTCAAAGGTGGGGGCTAGGCTGGGGAAGGATGTCGTGCTCCCCTCTTTGTGGGATTCTCACTAGATCCTGGGTTACAAAATCGCAGGAGCTGGGGCCTTGAAGGTAGATGGGTCTGGGTTCGAATTCGACTCTGCCACTGACTGGCTGTGTGCCCTTGAGCAAGTCACTTCCTCTTATGTAAAATGGGTATAGTTATGGTTCTCTACTAATAGGGTCCCATGAGAACTTTATAGACAGGGCTGTGAAGGGCACTTAGCAGCCTCAGGCCAGTGGCAGGGCCTCAGTTACAGTTCAGGGCAAGAATCAGAGGTTCCTGTGGCAGTTATATCCCCCTGGCCATTATTTCTCCCTGGACTTATCTCTCTGGTGCCGATGACCCCCTCCCTGGCTCGTCTGGGAACTCCAGGAGTCTGAGGGTTGGGAAAGGAATGCAGGAGCAGGCAGCCAGCCCACGTCAGGGTCCTGGGGGGGCCTCCTGGCTGCACTTGGGAGATTAGCAGCCACCCGGGCCCTGGCTCCTGCTCTGGACTGGACGCCAGCCTGGTTCCTCCCTGAAGCTGACATCTGGCTCCTGCTCCTGCCAGCCTGACCTCTCCTCACAGGCCTGGAGCCTCAGGCCACAAAACTGAGGCTTGGCCCATCCTCTACTGCAGCCCTTCAGGCCTTCGTTTCCCTGTTTGTACTGCAGGAAAGTCTAGGTCGGCCGAGGGAGAGGAGCATCCCTCAGCTAGCCTTATTTGCTGGCGCCCCCTGGTGGTGCCACGTGGTATAAAAACCTCTTAACCACTGAACGCTATTGTGAGGTGTATGCTCTCATCCCATTTTACAGATGAGGAAACAGATTCAGAGAAGTTAAATCATTTACCCCAGGTCAACAGCAAGTAAATGGTGAAGCTGGGATTTGAACCCAGGTCTGTCTGAATCTGGAAGTTTCCATCCCTAGCAGGCCAGCACCTGAAGCACTTCTCAGTCCTTGCATACATGCAGTTCTCAGGAGCAGAACTTGGGAGAGGGAGACAGCCCCAGTCTCCACACCTACCCTTACCTTGGTAGAACCCCATTCCCCCACCCCCAGCACAGATAACCGAGGGGTAGGGGCCAGCCCCATAGGCCCTGACCTGGTGTATACTTCCTACTCGCAGAGCTACCCCCATCTGAGTTCCTTCAAGTGGCTGAGGCCACATGGCTGGTGCTGAACGTGTCATCCCACAGCGGTGCAGCAGTGCAGGCTGCTGGGGTCACCAAAATTGCCCGCTCAGTCATTGCGCCCTTGGCGGAGCACCATGTGTCCGTGCTGATGCTGTCCACTTACCAGACGGACTTCATCCTGGTGAGTTTTTGGCAGGCTCCAGTGTGGGGCACGGTGGGCCTGGGTGCCTGGGGACTCATGTGATATTTCATCCCCCTGTTGTCCAGGTGCGGGAACAGGACCTGTCCGTGGTGATCCACACACTATCCCAGGAGTTCGACATTTACCGAGAAGTGGGCGGGGAGCCTGTGCCTGTTGCCAGGGATGATTCCAGCAATGGCTTTCCCCGTTCTCAGCATGGTGAGGCTACCCTCTGACACCCAGGTCTAGGCAGGGCCTCCTCTTCCCACTGGGGCCCTTCCCTTGTGAGGGTTGGTCTGTGGGCGTGATACCAGCTGACACTGACTGCCTGACAAGATAGGGAGATATGGTGGAGGAAGGAGGTGGGTTCCTGTAGAGCCTGACCCTACACCCCACCCAGGCTCCTCCCTGTGTGGCCACCAGGGGGCGCCCCAGCCCACAGTCGCCCTGACAGCTGCTGCCTGGTCCCTCCTAGCAGGGCCTAGCCCCACGGTGCATCCCATCCAGAGCCCACAGAATCGCTTCTGTGTCCTCACCCTGGACCCTGAGACATTGCCAGCCATCGCTACCACACTCATCGATGTCCTCTTCTATTCATACAGGTGGGCCTCATTTGCACCTTGTCTCTTTGTCCTCACACCATTGTTCCCTATGCTGTGTCCCACCACCTTCTGCGTGTCCCTCAGTTCTGCCGCTCTGTGCCCTGTTCTGTGTCTTGGGTTCCTGGCAGCCTGCAATGCCCATGTGCCCCTCACTGATGTTCAGGGAAGATCCCGATGGCACAGCTTCAGCTCTTTCCTGTAGTGTGAACTGAGACCACCCTGAGCCATGCTTTGGTCTGGCCGTCTGCCAACCCTGGGGTCCAGTGTCTTTGGAGGAGGCGAGATTCATCGTCCTCTCCCCCGACACCATCAGGAGATCAGGGCCCTCAGACAGGGGAGGGAAGTGGCCCAGATTGGGGAGGAGACACAGTGGGCTGGGTGCCCCGAAGAGCACTTGAGTCTCCTGTCCTTTTCCAGTGCCCCCAAGGAAGCAGCCTCTGGTGGTACTGGACCCAGCTCCATTACATTCTTTGCCTTCTCCCTCATCGAGGGCTACATCTCCATTGTCATGGACGCTGAGACGCAGAAAAAGTATGTGACTCCTGAGCCCTGTGGACCACAGAGCCCAAGTCCAGCCCTAGGGAGGGAGGAGGTGGAGCGTCAGACTCTGAGGTCACCAGGTCCCCCTGCTTCCAGGGGCTCACACTGGGGCAAGGAGGGGATGGGTGGGTGCCGTGCCCACTACCCACCTGCCTCTCCAGGTTCCCCAGTGACCTCCTGCTGACCAGCTCCTCAGGAGAGCTGTGGAGAATGGTGCGCATCGGTGGACAGCCCCTGGGCTTTGGTGAGGGCTGCTTCTTGTGTGCTGGGGACTTGGGGAGGACCTGGGGGGAGCAGCCAAGATGATCCACATGGACTCCCCACCCCCATAACCCTCAGATGAGTGTGGGATCGTGGCCCAGATCGCAGGCCCCCTGGCTGCGGCCGACATCTCTGCCTACTACATCAGCACCTTCAACTTTGACCATGCCCTGGTGAGCGCCATGGGTTGGGCTCCTGGAAGGACACTGAAGCCCAGGAGGGTGGAGAGGGTGCAGGATGAAGTCCATCTAGGCCAGGAGGTCGGCGTGGCCCTGATCCCTCCCCTCTGCCCACCTGCCCACAGGTGCCTGAGGATGGCATCGGGAGTGTCATTGAGGTCCTCCAGCGACGGCAGGATGGCCAGGGCTCCTGAGGCCTCCACGCTCTCCCTTCACCCCAGGCTTCCAGAGACTTCTCTAAGCTATTTCCTCAAGCTCTGGGATGAGCCCTCCCCACCCCCATTCCTGCCGGGGGTCCCCCTCCTTCTGCTCTCTGTACATAAGCTGCGTGCAGGCACCGGCTCTCACGTGGACACGCGTGTCTGCCCACGCAGGGGAACACGGTGCTCTGGGCTTCCTCTGGGAACCCCTCACCCCATCACTCCCTGCGCGGCCTCAGCGTTTGCACATTCCCTGCCTGAGGTCCGAGCCATCCCCCACTCTCAGCGCCCCGGGCCAGCTGCTCCCTGGACAGGGCCCTGATTTCCGTTCTGCCTCTGGCTGGGTTGCCTTCCCTGGCCAGGTGATTCTGACAGTGCCTGCCCCTCTGGGGGGCCTCCGAGAAAAGTATTTTTACATCTTTCTCCCTTTTTTATTGACTTGTTAATAAAGGGCTTGTAGTTATGAAGGGTTGGGCTGTGGTCCATGGGGGTTGTCTGAGCTTGGGCATGGCTGCTCTTCGGCTCCTCCCAGCCCCTCTGCCTGAAGTCCTGGTCTGTCCCTATGTAGCTGACTCTGGCTGGGCTCACCTAACTCAGTTCTCACCTCCGGGAGAACTGAACCTTTGAGAAGGGAAGTGACTTAGCCAAGGTCACCTGATTCCCATCCAGGGCTACCTGCCTCTGAAGCCCAGCCTCTTCCTTCCTTGCTGTTTCTGGAAGAGGCCAGAAAGTTCTGAACATGGTTAGAGACTCAGAGACCCTCCTGCCTGGAGGTCCCCCAGCCTTCCCTGCCACCTTGGGTGTGACTGGCCTATTGCAAAACCCCTCAAGGAGGGCCCAAAAGCACCTTTCTTCCAGGCTGCTGCCTGCTTGCTTTATGGACCATGCCTGAGTCCTGGAGGTCCCTCACAGGAGTCCCTTTTGGCCAAGAGATCAGTTAGTTCTTGTCACCAGGGCTCTCCTGGAGTAGTAGTGGGAGGGGGCCAGCCAGAGTGGGGACCTGGGAGTTCAGGCACTGGGCTTCCTCTGGCTACGACAGGACAGGGGCCTGGAAGCCACCTGAAACCCACTCTGCCTTCAAAGGCTACTGTTCCGGGCCAGTGACGGGTTTCCTGTCACAGAGGGGCTGCCTCCTCGCTCTGTGAGACTGGGATTCCACTGTGAGCCAGATGGGACCCTACAGATGTCCCAGGGAGGTTATCAGGTACCCTCAGCCCAGACCCGCCCGCACTTAGGAAGGGAAGAAGGGTGTGACTTCGGCGTATTCAGAGGTCATAGTGGCTCCCCAGAAAAGCCAGAACAGGGGCCAGGCCTCTGGCAGTGTGCCCGTCCTGCCCCTGGGAACTCAGGGTCTGCAGATCACAGGAACAGAGCGCACAGCCCAGCCCGGTGAGTGAGCGGTCGGGGACCCTAGGCCAACCCCTTCCCTTCAGCCTCCGTTTCCTCCTGTGTATCAAGGTCTAGGAGGCAGCTCCTCCAGGACCCCTCTACTTCTTGGTGCTGGGAAGGGGTCATTGCTTTGTAGTTTGACTTTTGGGGGAAGAGGGAGTTCTGGCTTCTCTCTGGTGGGCACACCTTGGGCCCTGGCTCAAAAGTTGTCCTGGGCTAAGTGGGGGCTTTAGAACCAGAATTCTTGGGGCTCCCCACCTGCAGGTAGAGAGCTCCTGGGCCCCATATTCAGCTCTGGGGGGTCTGTCCATCTGTCTGCTTGTGAGTCACTGCCTTATTTGGGTGTTTCTGTTATCCTGGCCTTCCGGGTGCATCAGGCTTCTCCTAGTCCCTCAAACCAGGTCCTAATCTGGCATCGGTTCTTGGTACTGCCCACAGGACTGGCCTGGGTAAGAGGGCCCCAGCGGGCTAGTCTGACTGGGACCCAGGCCTAGAGCCCGTGTGTGTCTCTTTGCCACATGTGTGTGAGTCTATGTGCAGGGGTTTTAGCTCCCAGGGCATTAGGGTGTTTGGGGGCCATAGGGTCAGCTTGGCTGCCAACAGGTTACAAATGGGGAGATCTGCTCTGGGATTGCCAGGGACCCCAGGACCCACCTGGGGTCAGGGCACAGGGCTTGGGAGGTGACTGGGGCACACTCAGCTGAAAGTGGGACGTGACCCTGGATCTCACACGTGTCTAATACTCTGGGTACCATCAGATAGACAGGCTTTAAGCTGTCCGAGGCTGAGGTGGAGGCTCACAGAATCACCTCTTTGTCCCGCCTGGGCCCCTGGAGAGTTCTAGAACCAAAGAAATCAGTCTGGTCAGCCTGGAGTTGGGCTCAGCTTGGGTCATTCATAACTGAGGTTGGGGTTGTTCACTGGCACACGGCCCATGTCCTTACGCTTCCAACCCTGGGCATCCCTGTCCGCCTGTCCACATCAGCACAGCCATTCCCCAGTGCAGGGGTCAAGGCCCCAGGCTGCAGAGCCCGAGTGCCCACCCTCATAAAGATGGAAGCCTTTGCCTGGGGAAGGCCCTGCCCACAGTCCCTTGGGTAGTAGAAAGGTGCTCTCAGCCCTCCTATCTGCTGGGAGGATGTGAACCTGCGGGGTGGAGTGGGGGGCTCTTGGGTGGTTGGGGACGGGAGATGAGGAAAGCTCAGGCAGGGACACTCAGCGGCTCATGTCCACCCTCTCAGATTTTACCTGCGCATACAGAGGGAATGATCTTGTAAGTCCTCCTTGAAGTTATTTGAGCAGAAATTCAGGGTTTTAAAGTCCTCATTCCCACCCCTGCCAGGCAGGCTGTATGGTCCCATGCTTGTTGCCAAGTTGCTCTAAAGCTGGCTTCTTGGTCCTGTGTAGAAGGGAGAATAAACCCGTACCCTCTTGGATGTCCCACCTGGCTTCAAGATCCCACATGGTGGGAAGGGACCAGGCAGGAGGCAGGAGGCAGGAGGGCAGCCCCATCTGCAGCTAGCTGACTGAGTCCAGGCAAGCTGATTCCCCCATCTGTACAAGAGATGGGAAGGCATGTGCTCCAGTCGTTCACGTATTCAACACACGTTCTCGCACGTTCTCGTTATCCCCCCTCCTTTACACGAGGGGAAACTTAAGCACAGAAAGGTGGAGGGACTTGCCCAAGGTCACAGCTGGGCATGGCAAAACCGGAATGCAGAAAGGTTAACTGGGGCCATAGCCTGGGGAGGTCCCCCGGGGGAAGGGACACTTTAGCTGAACCCTGAGGGATGGGGATGATTTTGCAAGATCCCTCGCAATCCCAGCTGTCTGCGTCGGTGGCTGGTGTCTGCCGCCGGTGGCAGTGAGTGTGTGGGCAGGCACGCGAGGCCTGGCCCCGGCTCCTTCCTGACCCTGGGCTGGGCCCAGTGGTTGTGTTGGGCAATGGCCGTGGTTTGTCTCACTTTCCCAGGCGGGCCCTGCTGCTGGGGTTCTGGAGCCAAAGGTGCCTCAGATGGGGGTGCCCGGAGCTTCCTCCTTGGGGGGGGGGGGGGTTGGTCATGATGCTGATGTGGCTGTGGATGCTTCACGGGTGTCGGTGTCCATGTGTCCCAGTGTGTCCTCATGCCTCTGCGGCTACACGTGCATCCGATTTCATCCGAACATCAGCTGTGTGCCTGGCTCCATTTCTGCATGCGTCCCGTGTATGCATGGCCGGAGGCATCTGTGCCTGTTTGTGTGCATGTGGACGTGGGTGGTGCTGGTGTCTGTACGTCTGCCCTTGTCTGTGGCGGGGCAGTTTCTGTACGTCTGCATGTGCCGGTGCATGCATCTGCGTCTGGTGTTTTCGTGTTCACATGTGTGTCCGTGGGCACCCTCCTGTCCACTTTCCTCCTCTGGACCCACATCCTCCCGGGCCTTCTGGCCTCTCCCTGATCTCAGGAGGCCCAGCTTGCTGCGGTCAGCAGGGGACTGCTGGGCTGTGCTGGGTGCCCCCCAACTCCACCCCTCCACCTTCGGCTTCCACCTCAGCTGCCTCACCCTCCCCAGTCTCCCTCCTACCTTTCTGTCCACTCCTCCTCTGTCCCTCGTCTTCTGTCTGCAGCCCAGAGCAAGCCTGGTCTGACCTTCTGCCCCTCAGTCTGGGCCCTCTGCCGTGACACAGAGAGATTGACACCCCCCCCCGCCCCCCACTCCCAGCTTCCCAGCTCCTCCGCCCTCCACGGCCTGGCCTTCCCCACTTCCCAGGGTTCTGATTCAGCCCACAGTTGTCCTCATCTGTGCTTCCTCAGGCTTCCTGCTGGTCTCCCTGTCATCTGGCTGCACAAGTGAATTTTCCCCAGCAAAATCTTACTATGCCCCCTCCCTCCCTAATCACCGGCCTTGGGTAGACCCTTGCTCGGGAGGTCTGCCTTTGAGACCTCCTGGCCGCAACAGCTCTTCTGTTGGCTACTCTGCTCTTGGACCTTGCCTTAGACTTGCTCTCCCCCAGAGCTCGGAGCTTCTTCCTGGGACAGCTGCCAGACCCTGTCCTGAGCTGGCATGCCCCGGCCTTTGAAGTTGAGCTGAGCCTTCTCTAAAGTCAACGAGCAAGAGCTCCGGGACAGTCGCTAACCAAGCAGTAACAGGAGGGGCTGTGAGAGGCCTCGGACTCTCTCCGGCCCCCTTGCAGCCTACTCGTTGCTTTCCAGCCCCTTGGTTCTCCTGTTTTTAAGCTCTGCCTTAAAAAAAAAAATTTTTTTTAATTGAGGTGAAAGTCACATAATACATAACTGACCATTTAAAAAATTTTTTTTTATTGTTATGTCAATCGCCATACATTACATCATTAGTTCTTGATGTAGTGTTCCATGATTCATTGTTTGTGCATAACACCCAGTGCTCCACGCAGAATGTGCCCTCTTTAATACCCATCACCAGGCTAACCCATCCCCCCACCCTCCTCCCCTCTAGAACCCTCAGTTTGTTTTTCAGAGTCCCTTGTCTCTC